CAGATGTTTACCTCAAGCATTGTTGGCGTACCGGTCCACCGTGCAAACCTCAACAGGGTTCTCTCCACATTTCTTGGTGTTTGGAAGAGAAACAAGAATCCCAGTTGACCTAATGACACCTGAGCCCCCTCAAGCAGAAGTACCACCGACTACATCAGAGTATGCGGAAAAATTGAGGAAACGTTTTGAAAGAACATACGAGTTGACCAGAGTAAATACAAAGAAATCTAGCGAGCGATATAAAGACTACTATGACGCGAAGGCGAAAGATACGACGTACAACGTCGGGGAGAAAGTATGGTTGTATGTACCATTTGTCAAAAAGGGAAAGAATTTGAAGCTATCACGGCCGTGGCGGGGACCATATACGATTGTGAAGAAAATTTCAGATGTGGTGTATCGAATCGAGAAAAATGCCAACAAAAGGAATAGGTTAGTAGTCCATTACAATCGTCTTAAACCGTGTTTTGAACGACCGTTGAAAAGTCTACCTAATCGACCACCAAACGAGACGAAACTGCAATCGAAAGAAACCACCGAAACGAGAAAAGAAAACGTGGAGAATTGTAGTGGTCAAACCCCGCAAACGGAACCCCCAACCAACGGAGGAAATGATGAGGATGAGTGGACAGTGAGGTATTTTAGAAGAAATTTGAGACAAAGTAGACCAAGTCGGGCAATTAACGGGGAGGAACACGGACAAAATTTACCTGATGAGGTCCAAGAAGACGTACAACATTTACCTGACGAATTACAACAGGATGGGCCATTGAGTTCAATGGAACAGGATAATCAGAGAGACGGTAGCGACGAGACATTGCGAGAACCAGTAGAAGGAAACGAGGGACAGTCACAAGCCCCACCGGAAAGACCAGCGCGAACGAGAAAAAAACCAGCGTGGTTACGGGACTATGAATAGCTTTAGCTATACATATATGTCGGACTGTACTGCATTTTTGCAGCTTAGTTATCTATTAAATTGTACTGCATTTTTGCAGCTTTGTTATCTATTAAATTTAGAGGGGAATAGTGTAGAGAATATAGAGACCGACGTTATAGAGACTGACGTTAGCAAATATAGGTGGCGTGGACGAGCGTTGATCGATAGTTTTAAATCCGGACACTACAGGAAAGTTGTAAGACTGTTAATATTAATATATCTTAAGAAATAAATTATTACAATAGCAACTACAAGGAGAACCATCCGATGTACTTTTGCGACAACAAAATGGAGCTTGGTTTCATGAAGAACGAAACTGGTGGGGGGAAAATAAGCGATGAGTGTGCCATTCGAGCGAAGATGTATGCATTCAGGATGAGCGACGGATCGGAGGAAAAGAAGGCGAAAGGCGTTCGCGGACATGTCGTAAAGGGTGGGCTTACCTTCGATGACTACGTTAACTGCATGAAGGATCCGGGCAAAAGGCATATGGTGGAAATGAACGGACTTCGGAGTTACCATCAGACTATGTACTCCGAGACCGTTAACAAGGTCGGGCTGTCTGCGAACGATGACAAACGTGTGATTTGTGAAGACGGAATCGATACCCTGGCGTAAATCTACTTAAAACTTACTTACAATTATTTTGAGACACTTTTAAGCAAAATTAAGGTCCCTTAAAGTGGAAGTCAAGTCCGTAATGTAAACAAACGGTTTTGTTTACATTTTGAACTGCTGTATTTTTTAAAATGTGATGTACTGTCTGAATATCTAACACCATTTTGGTTCGCTGTGCTTTTAAATGAATATGAAATAGAGTTTATGTTCAGAAAAATTCGAAACATTCGAAATTTGGGCAATATTTACATCAGAGCATTCAGAGGGTCGTCATATTTTTATGACCAGACCGATGCGCAGAACGGACTTGACTTCCACTTTAAAATTATTTTGAGACACTTTCAGGCAAAATTAATATCACATAAATTTTACTTGGATCATTCTTAAATCTACTTAAAACTTACTTAAAATTATTTTGAGACACTTCCAAGCAAAATTGAGATCACTTAAATTTTACTTAAAAAAATTACTAAGTAAAATAAAACATGTCAGAAGAGAACCCAAGTACAACCGCAGTGTCGGTTAGGAATCCGGTGAAGACCCACGTCAAGGATCCGAAAAAAGTCGAGGCAGGATGCAGGCTTGCCAGGATCAGTCAGGAGGCAAAAGCCAAGAAACGCGCGCAACGTGAAGCAATTAAGGAAGAGCAAACGTTTCGGATTTTTTTCGGATGTAGAAAATAAATGTGACGAGCCAGGTGGAGATACGGCGATTACCCTAGAGAGAGTTGGTATGGTGGTAGGTATTACCGTGGGACTTGGATCCTTACACATCATGTGGTGTAATCGTTGGGAAAAGAGCGGAAAGATGGAAGAAAGCGAATCCACAGAAAAACCACAACCCGCACCGAAACCGCAGGGTGACCGCGATTTGTTCGACTGGGACTAGTGCTAGTAGAAAAAGAAAATAAAGAATATAATAAAACAATGTTACAGTTATTCTCAGACATACCGTCCTTAAGTGGCTTTGTGACAATCGGAGTAGGACATCAAATTTTTACCAACAAGGTTTTTGCTATAATAAAACACAAAGAGCGACACAAAGAAGGAAATGATCAACGAATTGTACAACGCAGCGTTAGTAACAGCCGGAGTTGCCGGACTGTCTATGGTGACCAAAAAAGCGTTTGGAGAAAGTCTCGGAGCGCTTGTGACTCTAAAAGGAGCCTTGAAACTGACTGTCGGAATTGCCGGCAGCGCCGCGGCGGTGGGTTACCTGAAAAACAAGGGTTACATTCCGGTCAGTATTGAGGAGTAAAAAATAAACGGATGACGTCAGGTCGTGCCGTAAGGGCGGAGCCTAGCTCGTCGTGCCCTGGGCGCTGGCAGAAAAAAATTAAATAAAAAATGACATCCGTTGTAGTTGGAGGATTATTTAATGCCGTGGCCTTTGCCGGAGCCGGATTTCTTTTCTCGAAATTAAATGGACAAGGATACAAGGAAGAAGTGAAAAGACATAACCAAGCATTGGAAAAACTTGCGAAAACAAAAGAAAAATTTTATGAATCCGAAGTAAAGCGTAGGAATGATGAAGCCCGACATCGAGCCGAGATCCTGGATGCTAACAAGGACATTGAGGAAACAAACAGAGCGCTGGAAGATTTAAGAAATTTTATGAGACTCATGGACGACTCGACATCGCAACGGAAACCAAAATTGGAAGATTATTATCAAGCGTATGACGGAATAAAAACGTATGCGATGATGACAAAGGGTGTTTTGGGAGTTGGTAGCGCCTACGGACTGACACGAATACTTTAAATCTTACAAAAAGATTTATAATTACTTTTACTGTAAAATTACTAAATAACACAATAATTCCGTATTTCCCGTCCTGTCGGTTACAACCCCAGTGGCATCGACATCACTAAACTTTAAACTCATAACCTGAATGATTATACCTCCGGATCCGAAATAATCCTGAGTTATGAAATACATGAAAGCAGCACGAATTAGACCATTTCCATTTTTCATGTGGAGAACAACATTTCCGGCAGAATTAGTGGAAAAACTAAGCGGTGCACCCACGGTTGGAGCTGTGTTAGATCCATCAGTCATGGCAAATCCTATAAATTTCGTATTGTCGGCGTCGGATTTGGAAATCTCATCCGTCTTATAGCTGTTCGGTGGATAAGCAATGGAATATGGAAATCTGTACCAGGCATACTGACCTCCTATGTACTATGGAGTTTTGTGATTTCATTTTTATTCACGGCCACTTCCGCGGCGGTGGTGGTTTGGTTCTTGCCCGTCTGATTTATTTTGTTTTCCAGACGTTCCAACGTAGGTTTTGTTTCGTCAAAATGATCGTATCCGAATAAGATGTTCATTGTTTTTTTTTTATTTAACGTCGAAGTACTAAATACGTAAGTCCAAAGGCTGTTGCCGCTATCATACCAAGGGCAATATTCTGACTGTCGGATTTCTGTCTTAGAGCTGGTTTATTTTCTATCAGCGGTTTAAGATCTTCTGCGGTGGGAATTGGTGCGATGTCGTGACTGGGATTTGGACTTAGATCGGTATTTACGACGGATGGTTTTGGTTCTACTGTACTCCAGTGTGATTAACTTTTTCATTTTCTCCGAACGTCATTTCATTCCTAGCCACCGTCAGGACATTGCTAAATCCCGGAATGGGTTCCGTCAAAATCCTTAGATCCGAAGGGATGAGGACTAGACCCGACATGATTGAAAAATTTAGGATGACGTGGGTATTGGAAATGGCCGTCCGCATGTTGGAAATGGTGATCGTGACATCGTCCTGAACGATTGTGTCCTTCACTACCTTCCGAAAGACTTCCTTCGTTTGCAAACTTTTCGCACCCTGTCCCGTAATGCTCCATCGGGTTTTAGCCTGTGCCCCGAGGACGGAATACAAGAAAGCCTCGACGGACTGCTGGAGTAGCTTCTGTCCGACTTTGGTTAATCCTCGGGATTTTTTAGGAATAATGGCCTTGTAATCATTTTTGACGTCGTAGGGGGACCTGCCGGTTAGGTACTCGTATTCGATGTATGTTCCGCTGTATTTAGTCTGATGATATTTTGACGTCTTGTTTTTCTTCGTACGTCAGCCGGCTTGTTGTAGAGTAACGTTCCGAGGTTTGCATGGGAAGAGTCCGTTCTGTTCTCCCACGTTTCGTGAACGGGTGTAAATTTTCGGATGGTTTTAATATCGTCTTTCGTAATGTACTGATCTAAAAGTTTGGGATTGCGCATGAATCTCGAAAGGTGGAAATGGAGATGGAAGCGAACGATGGAGGTTACAATGTTGGAGTGTGAGTTGGAAAGATTGCACGTAAGGTGATCCTCGGAAATTCAACACTTGAATGTTGTGACATAAACTGCGGCTAGGGAGCAGAAGTAAGAATTTGAATGATAGTCAAAAGGAAGTTGATTGATAAATGCGTTTTCGGATTTGTCGTACACGGGTTTGATCGGTTCTAATTTTGTGATGAAATTTTCAGTCTCGGTGACATAAATTTTGAAACAATGTACATTCATTTTGAAATCTTTGTTCGGACGAAAGATCATGTCAAGAAGGACACTTCGCCACCCATCCACCCAGTGTAAAAATTTATTCCATTCAGGATTCAAACGGAAAATATCAGATTTAATGTCACAGCTTGTGAGACTATCCACTTTGTAAAAGATGTCTCTGGATTCCACGGTTCCATCCTTGGCGAAGGTGACCTCAAAGTCAAATTTAGACACGGTTGGTTGGGATACTTTTTCCTGAAATTTTCTTTCATTTTCCGGATTTCCATGGATGTTGCCGCCTTTACTTTCTCGTAATTCTTTCCGTATTAGCGGCGAGAGATATCCTCACTTATTGTTTTATTTGATGTAAACCGGATTTCGTTGTACCTTCAATTCCAGAGTCCAACCATCTACGGAAATGTAGTCGTTGTAACGCGCGCGAGCGTTTTTGTAATTCCAAAACACAGTGGCAGTTTTCACAAAAAGTCTGGATTCGTGGGTAAGGATCAGAGGATCCCGAAGATTTAGGGTAACCCCTCCGTCCTTGATGTAAGTCGTTATCTTCTTCATCACGTTTTATTTACCGATAATAAATGAGTTTGCAATTGGATGTAGCGCTTTGGGAAATCTATTTTAACGTAAACGGTGGATACATGTCGATGGAAAAACTTTTCCTAAAGGCAAAGGAAGAAGGTGTACCGGGTGTCAGCAGGAAAAACGTCAAAGAATGGTTGCAAACGCGGAACACGTACATCATACATAAATCGTTCCGGAAACACTACAAAACACAACGAACTTTCGTAGATGGACTTGCACAACAAATTCAAATGGATCGTAGACATGAGCAAGTTCAGTTATAAAAATAAAGGAAACCGTTGGATTTTTACTGTCATTGAAGTTTTAAGTCGGTATGTCTTTGCTGTTCCCGTCTGGCGAAAAAAACCTAAAAGTATGACAAAAGCCGTTGAAAAGGTACTCGCACAATTTAAGGAAAGGTTCGACAAATATCCGAAAGCAGCACAATTCGACGACGGAAAGGAATTCTACAATGTAGGAGTAAAGAAGTTGTTAAAGGATCACGATGTCCATTACTTTTCCACGAGAATCTTTCGGAAAGCTGCACTCGTAAGGAGATTTAATAGGACTCTGAAAACAAGAATGTAGAAATATTTCACGGAGAACAAGACGAAAGTTTGGGTGGACATTCTACCTGCCTTTGTCAAATCCTATAATAATTCCACACACAGGACGATCGGGATGAAACCGGTGGATGTAAACGAGGAGAACAAGGACGGAGTTTGGACAAGGGCTTACGGATATCCACTGGACAGTTTTCCAAAACCTAGGTTTACAGTAGGGGATCACGTTAAGGTGGAGGTAAAACATAAAACGTTTGAAAAAAGGATACGAACCCAATTTCGACAACGAGCTGTACGTCATCATGGCGGTGTTTCGGGGAGATCCCAACATGTACGTACAGTCTTAGGGATCCGGAGGATGGGGAAGCCATTTTGGGAAGATATTACGAACAGGAATTATCTTTAGACTTAACTAAAAATGGAAACGGAGATGAATGACTTGTTTAACGACCGACCGGAAGGTAGTGATGAAGCCGAAGCTGAAACGTCATTCATTAAAGACGATGACGATGAGAATTTTAACGATCTTCTAAACAGCCTAGATCAAAACTCAGACGATGTGAAGACGTCTAGTTTCTATGAGGAGAATAAGAACAGCAGGTATGGAGGAATAAGAAAACGGATTAATGAACCACGTCTAATTGGAAAATATATTGACATAGAGGGAGAGTTTGCCAGAAAGGTGTTGGGTAGTGAATACCAGTTAAATCCAACCGATGGACAAAACTCCAGGGAATTTATTTCCCGTTTGGACATAGACGAACACAGACTAACATTTGACGGAACCGTTGTGGGATTCATCGACACATCCGGAACGTTTAAAGTGTCTACAAACCGGAAGCCGGTGAATAAAGTAACTAATTTCAGAAACCTGTACGAAAAAGCGCTGAAGGAGCATAAGGAGAAAATCTGGAGTGTGGTGGAGGAGGAAACTGGCGGAGACATGCTGGAGGAGAGCGGGGAGGACATTTTCGAAGACACCATGGAGGAATTTCACCAGGACGTTGTCAATGCAAACGATGACCTTACCGATCAAGCAAAAGGTCTGGAAGGTGAAGGAAAAATAACCGAACAGGAAAGAAGGGAATTTTCAGGAATAACTGCTCCTAAAAGACCACCGGGGGAAAGGATCAGACACATAGATATTGTGATGGAAGAATGGAAAAGTAACCTCGAAAAAGAAACCGACGACGATAGACGACAGATTACACAGAGGGCGGTGGACGTTGCCGAACAGGCCATCGACGATGCAAGGCTGGAAATGGGACAGGCGCCTAGGTCGGACGAGGGAAAACACAGGTACAGGGAAATAGTAATGGACAACATCCGAACAAAATTCGAGAGATTCCGCGTGTGGGCAATTAAGAAAACATGGGGGCGTTCAGCCATTGCCATCTCCATTGCCGGAATTATTACGACTGTTGTGGTGGCTCGAAAGAAGACCATCACAGGAATAGTCAACGGACTTGGAGCCACCGGAAAAGTGTTGGCAAAGTTTGCAAAATCTGCTCTACCGATCCTGGTACCTATTTTAAATATATTAAGTACAATCCTTAGTTGGGGAGCAGAGGGACTTGCCTTCCTCGCCCAGAATTTGTGGATGGTGGCAATCGTGATTACCGGAGCTATATTCCAGGGACGTGCTGGCGTCTTAAAAAGGACAACAAATGAGCAACGTCTGATGGGGCCCAGGCGCAGTGAAGGATGGCTCAACATTAATTTTTCCCCCAAAAAATTGTTGGGGGGGGGAGGGACATTGTTGGGGGCGGAAATATCGTAATTTGTCCGGAAATACTAAAATTTTTCCGGGCATTTCGTAATTTTCCGTCCCACATACTATTTTCGTAAATTTTGATTTTTTCAATATAAATTGTAATATCTTAATATTGATTTTGAAAATTTAAATCTATATTTTTTATCTTTTCCAATGTTTTAATTTTAGGGGCCAATGATGACAGGTGCCCACAACGAGTTCTCGTTGGCTCGTCCCTAGCCAGCACGTCCCTGCTATATTCAGGTATTTGCAAAATAGACGTAAAAAATAAATCTCTTTTTGTACTATAATAAAACATAATGAACCGATCGGCTGAACTTATGCCCGATTTCCGACGTATGAACAAGGCAGAAATCACCGGAGATAGGACCTGACACGTCCTAACCTTCAACCAAAACTCTGCCAGACCTGGAGAAGAAATTTATGTTAATATTCCAAAACTAAAAGCCGACTCCGTTCTCGTACCGGACAGTATGGCTTTGGTTTTCGACTTTAAGAACAAAAGTTCTGGTTCAGAAATAACCTGGGAAAACAGCTCCAAAGGAGATTGGAAATTAGTATCGCAGGAAAAAAAGTCTACGATAACAGTGGAGAAAGCCTTCTGGAAGTCTACAAGGATCTGTAGTTACACAGGAAACAGCGTGACGACATGGTGGAGGATGGCATCGCTAGCGAAGCCACGAGGAAAAAATATCCAAGGATGATGCCGCAAACGACGATGCGGATGCCACCGCATTGTTCGGAGTATTCGGAACAAAACAAAGAATCGGAATCGGTAAAATCCTAAAAGATCGTGGACTTTAATTACGCTCGACACAATATCGCAAACGATCTTCAGTACGTCATAACCTTACCGGCGGCAGATGAGATTACGAATACACAGGGTGGGGAAAATGTGGAAGGGTGTACCCTGGAAAACATCGAGCTGGAATATGAATCCATCGACAACATCGAATTGGCAAGAAAAGTGGAAAGTCAGTACAACGCCGGACGTAAGCTGTCTTTCGAACATGTCATCCTGATGAAAAAGACAGAATAGAACAAAGACTCCATCATCATCAACGAAACGATCGACGTTCCACGCAGAAGCATGAAAGCCGTTGTCATGTTGTTTACCAACAAGACGAAAACAGACAGAGAAGAATACGTCTACCCCAACATCGAAAAGGTTAAGGTAACCGTGGAAGGTGTACCCAACGCAGTCTACAGTCAAGGTATTCGGAAAACAAGATTGTACGAAGAGGCAAGACGACTATTCGGTACCGGTGAAATTAGTTATAAAACATTAACGAACTTTTTCAAAGACAAAAAGTTTCCGTTGGTCACACTGGTTGGTAATCGATCTCAGAACCGTAAACGATGTCAACACATTTGGAATTGGTGCTAAAATTCAAAACACTCAGTCTGGAATACTGGTGGAAATCACGAAAAAAGCTACAACTGCGAACGTCGTATGTCACATGTTCGTTGGTGTCATCGGAATTGAAAACGGACAACTAAAGGGTGTACAGTACTAAAATAAAAATATTTGAGGATCATGGTTTTTCCACACCTAAAGAAGGGTGTGAAAAACTTTTTTATTTCCGTACTTAGTTGTCAATGTCGGCCTTCAGTTCTTCTTCGGAAGGTAGTGGTGGTTCGAGTGTTCTTTGGTAAACGTGCTTTATAGTCGTCACTCCGCCGCTAACGATCCACAAATAGGTATACAGGGTGTATCAAAATAAACGCAATTCATCTTTTGTGCTTAATAACTTTTGAAATACTATTTCTAGTTAAACGCTTTTAGGCTTACTTCAAAGCCTGTTCTTTTCTCTTTCAAACAAACTATTATCCTTGTCTCCAATGCTAGTAATAATTGCACAGGAAAAGATTTAGTAAACCTATCATTTTTAGTTGCTGTTTAATTATGCAAGTTTACTATGTTATTGTTTAGTCGGTTTAAATGTTAGAATTTCTTCTTTAAACTTTAATGTTGTCGCCACTACATCTGGAAAACCACGTAAGAACAAATTAAAAGTATTTAAAAGAGACCAGCTTGTTTGAAAATCCTAAACGAATGCTAAAAATCGTCAAAACATTCTGGTGTCTGAGCCAGAGTGTCATCGAATTGCGATGTAATGTAAACAGAAATTATAGCAAGTTGATGTCAGTCAGCTTAGATGGTCCAAGCCAAAATTATATCGCATTTGAAGTTTCAAACTGAGTTAATAATAGTGGAAGAAAAGCCGTAATTATACTTATTGTTACAATCCATTTAATAAAATGCAACATTTTTTTGTTTTAATGAAAAATCAGTTATTTTCATGAGAACGATTTGTTATTCCATCTCAATTTTTTTAATCTCCAATCGCAATAACGTAAAGTATTATTACCCGCGAACCAATGAGTCAAATTTAAGAAACAACCCACTGTTAGAAAGCTGAATGGCTACGCTTTAAAATGAATGTAAACTTTAACGTTTTCGTCTATTATTTGTTTAGCAATTTACATTTCAGTCGAGGATTTCGCTTTTTTTTATACACCCTGTATACGGGGACAGTTTCCCCACCACTCCTTTGACATCACTCCTAAATAGCTTGTCCTGATGTAGTTGCATCTTCAGCTCTTCCCCGCTGTCTACCATGTTGATGGCTTCCATAAGACTGGAGACGGGAGGTTTGCCTTTTCCCTTTGAGCAACGATGTAGTCCCTTCGGACTTTTGTAAGGACTTTATCAGATGCTTTCCGGAAATATTTTTCAGACTGGATAATCTCTCCCGCGTTGGACAGGCAGATAAACTCCTGCCTGTGGTCCTCAATCTCCGTATTCTCTGGGGATTCCTTTCTCATGGGTTAGGTCGGTAATTTCGATCCCATCTCTTTTATTATAACATCGGAATCTTTACCTCGTGATTGAACGGATGAACCAAGTTTACCTCAAGATGAGCGTATTTGTTCTCCTTCAGCTTTTCCTTAATAGATCTCATTTCCGCGTTGTCAACAACAAGATATTCGTCCAAAATAATCTTCATGTCCTGTCTGTTCGAATTATAAAATGTTACCAATTTCGAAATGTTTTGTCGGTATGGTTTGGCAATGGAAGTCAGTTTCTGAGTGATAACGATGGTGGAAATACTCATGTGACGTGCGCTAAACCCAAGATCAACCAGCTCCCCCGTACGGTTCTTCACGGATTTGGTGCTGGCACAGTCGTCCAGGATGATGAGGGATTCCTTTCCCTTCATGAAATCCACGACAAGTTTAAGGTACTTCTCCACGTCGTCCTGTCAGCAGGGAATGACAAAAACTGTCATCCTCGTGAATGAGGTCCTGGTCGTAGGTCCTATTCCAGTGATAGATGGGACAAATTAAAAATATGTTTTCAAATTGATGAAAAAAACGTGGTTTTCAATTCCTGGACGAGGTAGTGTGTCTTTGCACAGGCTGTCATACCTAGCTACGATAATCATGTTAAATGGCAATTTATTTCCGGTTAAATAAAACACTAATTCACGAGGAGATATCACAATGAACGCACATACTCAGATCGGTTACGTTAGCACAACGGTAAAAAAATATGAAAAACAAAATGATGAAAGTACCACGGAAACAGGTGTGGCTGTGCCTGATCAGCTGCCTGCTGATCTCGGTAACGACTGAGATCCTGCTTATTATATTCGTTAGCCAAAATTACTGCATGTGCTGTAATAAAAAAGTTCCTATGCCTTGCAGCAAAATGATGAAGTAAATCATATTCACTGTATTTTTAATGATCTTCTGACCATTAAAATTAATAACTACCGTTTATCCCAAAAGCCGTCTTTTCCTTGGCTTCCTGGGCTCCTCTTTCAAAACCTTTGCTTCGTACAGTTTCACGTGAATGGAGGTCGTCCCGCCAGACACGTAAATACTGTCAATCTTGATGACTGCATCAAGACGGAACCTCTTGTCCTGATATTTCTTGTGGTCCACTGGATCGTCTCCTTTCGTAGGGTCTCGTCGTTGATCTTGGCATACAGGGTTGGAGTATTACCTTTCCGGTAAAGACATCGATCGGCGGACTCCTTTTCCACCACCTTCAGGGCGGACACAAACTCGTCCTTACCTTCCAAAGCCAGGGGGATGGATAGTTGGTCTTCCCGAACTTGTCGTTCTTTTTCACCCCGTAGGACAGACAATTCTCAAGTTTTAGTAGAAGTTGACCTTGGTCCAATGCCGTTAATTTAATCTTTTTAGATCCAAACCTGTTCTCGACGGTATCTTCGAAAACAAACACAACTCTGGAGAAATCTGATACCTCGGTAATGAACATGTTTTATTTACTATAGGAAAACCTTGTCTTTAAAGTGTTTATTCAATTTTTGAAATATTTTAGATTATGCTTCATGTGTTTACACCAAAAATCTTTAAAGATACCATTCCTCATCGCCCATTCCGTATACGCATAACGCTTGTGGCAGGGCTGTGCCTTTGGTTTCTGAACGTACTTCTCCTTTTTTCCGGAATAATGCTCCAATATATTTTCCCTAACCATGGTTTTCATTTATCTTAGGAAAACCTTGTCTATAAATTTTAATGTGAAAAAGTATGTTAAAATCTAGTCTCTTCTTCAAACCATCTCGCAACCTTTACCGGACTTCCGAAATAAATCGGATCAAATTCTGGTAAACCAAAAAGAGTGACGTCTGACAAAAAGTCCACGTCAAATTTCCACGGTATACTTGCCCGAATATTAATCTTGCCCGCAATGTCAACGTCATTTTCCTGGATAAGACATCGGCAGGTAAGGTCACCATAACTTACCTCCACGACCATATCATCACCCCTTGCCTGAAAAATGTGAAACGAATTTTCCGGACATCTAAAGCATAGCTGAACCTCCTGATCTTCCATGGTTAATCACTTTATTGTACACGAATAACTTTTTATTTACAAAATTCATCAAAAACTATATCACTAGAACCTCAAGCTCACTAGAAACCCTCTCGATCTCATTCCACATTTCCTCCTCTTCCATCCTCTCCAGTAACTCAATCTCCTCGTTTGCGCGCCTAAACTCCTGCGACTCTTCCCAGAATCCATCAATTGCGCGCTCGACCTCCCGCAACTCCTCAATCTGCAGCGTCCAGGGAACACAAGACCATTCACTTTCAAAGTCCATGTGCCAGCCCAAATGAATCCAATCCTCAGGACCTTCAAACCAGCAATCAGTCACCTCGGAGAGTTCGGAAACGGAAATAAAAATAATAATAGTACCCTTCGAACCTCCAGAAACGTAATCCATACGTCGAATCCCGGCATCCCGACCCATCCATCCCTTTCCAAACCTAATCCTGTGTTTTACCACCAAACCTTTGACACTTCTGGTTTCGATGATAACCGTCATGTCCTTATAGTTAGTATTCTCACACTATTTTCAGGACAGTTAAAATACATCTGCGCTTGGATATTCATTCCATTAGGTCTCATTCCATTAGGTCTCATAGTTTTATTCTGTGTAGACTACATCTTTAAATTGGTGATTTGTTCATGATAAAGTCACCCGGAATAAAACTTATTCCAGAAATGTATGTAATTTCGTTGGTCTCCGAAATTCTGTGCGAACAATTTTTTTGGAACCTAGCTAATGCAAGTAAAATAACACTAAAAAGGGCTTTACACCTCCGGGTAGAAAGAGAATACTCCTCAGATTTTTTAAAAATGTATTTTTTAATCATATTATCCTGCGACGCCTTTTTCCGGACGTCCTTCCATTTAAGTTGAGCTAGGTCTTTCCGGTGACGGTGGGGTTACACGAATGTAGGGAATCTCCACCCTCTCCAAGGACGGTGGTTCTGGCATAAAGCGTCGATTCTGTCTGCGCGTGCGTAAGACTTTCGGAAGACTCCGGGAAAACCTCTGGAAAATTTTATGAAGACTTTATGAAGACCCCACGATCGAAGACTTTGGGAAGACAAAATTAAGATTCTTCAGGCTATTTTCCATTGCAGTCGCTTTGCCCGCGCGGGCGGAGCGAACATTACTCAACTTTCTCTGTAGTTGCCTAACCTGTGCATTTTTTGTCCGCCTGAATGTTCGCGGACACGCCATAAAAGTAGAACTTCGTTCAACTTTCTTGGCGTGTCCGGGCGACTGATTTTTCATGTGACTAAAGTTGGTCGCTCCGCCCGCGCGGGCAAAGCGACTGCAATGGAAAATGGCCTTAACAAATCGAGTGGGTGGCGCGCGAGCCGAAGGCGAGCGAAGCGGTATTAAAATTTATGAAAATTTTGGAAGAAACTTCTGGGAAATTTGGAATAAATTTTTGGCGGATGGAAGAGACTTCTGGGAAATTTGGAAGAGATTTTGGGGAAATCTTGAAAGAGACTTTCGGGAAATTTGGAAGAGATATTTGGGAAATTGGGATAAGAGATTTGGGGGATTGAACGGGGCGGAGATTCGGAAGGAATTTGTGGGGTTTCTTTGGATTTTTGGCGGAGATTCGGAAAAATGGGTTGGGGCGGAGATCCGGATGAAATTCGGTAAATGGGGTCAATGGGCGCAATTGAAAAAAGTGCTCCGGCAGAACCCGCATCTTTACACTACTAGTCTACCACCGACTTCTACAAAAACAAAAACATCATCATATTGCATACTCCGGTTTCCGAAGCTACATTCGACCTAACGCTTTATATACGCAGGTAAAAAATGCTTTACATACGCTTTATATACGCTTAAACGGTAAATTTTCCACTTCTGTTTATCGTAAACCAACTTTCACGGGTCTTTTCACTAACTTCCACAGCTTCATTCCTCTTGCATACAAACGCTCTTTAATCTCTTGCTTATTTTACAGAATTTTCAACCTCTGTTCTAGCTATGAAAACTTTCACACTCAGCTTGAAGTTATCAGGAAACTGTTTAACTTGAATTGTTTCCCCTCCCACATGTTTGACCGTCTTGTTCATCGTTTCCTTAACAAGATCTTCGAACCCAAACCTCCTATTCACACGGTTCCTAAAAAGGTTGTCTATTTCTGCCTTCCCTTCACTGGTTCACACTCTCTTCAGATTCGCACTCAAATCAACCGACTTTGCAATGCTGCTTATCCTCATCTCAACATTCGATTTATCTTTCGCTCCTCTAAACGCATCTCTTCTTTCTTTCCTTTCAAGGATAAAGTTCCTAAGTTTCTGAGATCTGGTGTCGTATACTTATTTAAGTGTCGATGCTGTTCCGCGTCGTATGTGGGTCAAACCATGCGTCATTTACACACCAGAGTATCGGAACACCTGGGACTCACTCCTATAACAGGACAGCAGTCATCCAGTCCAGTCATGTCTAGTATTTTCTCTCATATTTATCATAAGAATTCGTTTTCCGCCTGGCAAATCTCTGGCAAAGACATCGTGCTTAAATATTTTTTCGATCTGACAACATTAGGCGACTTAAAAATGCCTTTTCGTGGTTGTAACGCTTCTCCAAACCTCGTCCTAAAATACGTGAAATAGCGTTCTAAAGAATCTAAACTGAATTCAAAATTTTCCGTGCAACTTCGGCGCTCGCATTCGAAATCCATAAAAAGTTTGCCCGGCCCCCGAAAGTTTAGGTAACTGTAAAAGTTCTGAAAAACGGAACGTTTATTTAAACCGTTGGAATACTATCCCCCGTCTTACCGTCTATGCGTCTATCCGCAATTTACGCCTTAAATCAGTTGGCTTTTCTTACCAAACAAAAATACTACAAAAGTCGGTCCCAGAACATAGACACCTTCCCCCAATTTCTTTTGAATGTGCGCCCCCTGATTATTAGACTTGTCACAAGGTTATTCTGACAAGTCTGATACAGTCATGATATAACAAGAATGTTACAAGGTTGACCACACAAGGTTGTAACAATACTGCTATATCATGACTGTATCGGACTTGTTGGAACAACTTTGTAACAAACCTGATAATATCAACAAGGTTGTTACAAACAGCTTGTTCCAAACTGTTGTGACAAGCTGCGAAGACAACTTGTTGACGGCTTGTTGACAAACGTGTTACATGATATGAGACTTTTGCGTGTACATGTACAAGATGTGAGATTTTTGCGTGTGTAGTTCTTAGGCAAGGCCGGCGAGAGGGAGGGGGGCAGGAGGGGCAAAGTAGTGCTCAGAGGCGCCCGGAAACCACGGTAAATGTTCGTATCGTTTATCATTGCTTTGTGTTTGTCCCTGTAATACCAATGAAAACACCAAACACGTTTCAATAACTATTTATAAAGTCTCTCTTAGTCTCTCCCAGACAAAGCACGCCTTCTGTATGTCTACATGTCTATTACTAAGGTATAATGTTACCGTGTAGTGTTACCATAACTTGTCAACAAACTTAACAATCATCACGAAAGGTCAGAGGTCTATATACTACACTACTCCCTCCTTTAAAAGAGAGCGTCCTCGATCTCGACATCTTCTAAAGTAAAGTCTTGATACCGATCCGGCTGTCGACGTACACGGGTCGAACGGCGCAGCCCTCTAACAGTAGTTGGTGTCTCTTGCGGTACAGTTAACTGTTCTTCCTCATGATGAGTTATCACCGGCTCATTGAGCTCATTGATCTTGGGTAGTTCTGAATTCGAACGACTCTCTAACCTCTTCAAACGGTTCTGATGTACCACTTTCGTCTTTGCTTTTCCCACTTCCGGCTTAATGTGGTAATTGACGCGACCCAGTTGGCGAAGTACCTCGTACGGTCCTGTCCACTCTTGGTGAAACTTACGACTTTTCCCCTTCGGTATCGCTTTACTATTTAGCCACACCCGATCTCCTGGCTTAAGCTGTGTGCTCTCGACTTTAGTCGCTCTGTCATAGTCTTCCTTTTGTCTCTTCTGGGCTAGGCTGATGTTATTCGCAACATGTTTGTGCACCTTACGTAAGGTCTGCTCGAGCTCGTCACAATAGTTTCCTGATAAGCCTCTGGTTGACATATTTTCTCCATCAATCAGCGTTAATGGAGAGACAGCTTCACGACCATAAACAGTTTTGAAAGGTGAAACGCCCGATGATCTGTGTATGCTCGTCCGATAGGCGAGCAACGCTAGTTGTAGATGAATGTCCCAATCGTTGTGGTCGTCGTTAACATACGATGTCAGGATCCCCTTTAAGGTGCGATTAAATCGCTCTACTTGTCCGTCGGTTTGGGGATGGTACGGCGAGGTCCGCAATTTCTTTACACCAAGGAGCTGCATTACTTTCTTCATCAGGTCAGACTCGAAATTTCTCCCCTGGTCAGTCAAGATCCTATCTGGGGATTCCGTGGCGAGTAATCACTTGATCAACAAACGCTAATTCCTTCTCAGTAGTTGAATAGTTTTTTTCTGCGGATGTTAAAGCGCGACTGGCATAGGCAATAACATGTTCTCGACTGCCAATGCGTTGGGCTAATACCGCGCCCAGGTCCACATCGCTGGCATCCGTGTAGATGGTAAAAGGTATAGAAAAGTTTGGCAAGGCGAGGACTGGTGAAGAGCAAAGATGATACTTCAAAGTGGTGAAAGCCTTGTCAGCCTGAGGTGACCAGCAGAATTCCGGTTGACCTTTTGTGAGGTCATGAATTGTTGACAAAGCGCCGGTAGTAAGACGCCATGCCTAAAAAGCACCGAACTTGCTGAGGTTGGGGGTGGAAAATCTTGCACTGCTTTCACCTTCTCGGGATCAGGCTCCGTACCTTGAGCAGACACGACATGACCAAGAAACTTTACCGATGATTTCCCAAACTGGCACTTCTCCCTTTTGAGTTCAGACCAGCTGCCCGAATACGTCCAAGGACTTCCTCGAGAATAAGGTGATGTTCCTCCCACGTATCAGCAAATATGATGATGTCATCCAAGAAAACTAGATATCCTTTCACTCGCTTAAGGATGGTGCTCATCATACGTTGGAAAGTGGCAGGAGCGTTGGTCAGACCAAAAGGCATGACTGTAAACTCGTAATGGTTCACCCCAACCGAGAACGCTGTTTTCTCCCTGTCTTCCTCTCGTAACGGAACCTGCCAATAGCCAGATGCAAGATCAAGTGTACTAAAGCATCTTGCTCCGCCCAACTGATCGAGAATGTCATCGCTTTGTGGCATTGGTTGCGCGTCCTTCTTCGTCACCGAATTTACCCGACAAAAATCTACACAAAACCGATAATTTCCATCCTTTTTCGACGCTAACACAATTGGTGATGACCAGGGACTAGTGCTTGATCTAATGAGACCTCGCTCTAGCATTTCAGCAACTTGTTGATTAACCACGGTTTGGAGGTGTACAGGGATTCGATAGGGGCGTTGCTTGATTGGTAGACTG